GGACTGAAATTTACAGTTAGTAAATGAAAGAAGGAGCCAGATGTGAAGCCAGTTCGACTGGAACCTGCCTAATGGTTGGCAATATTTCCATGCAGATTGAGGATGAAGAACCAACCAGAATTCACCTGGCGCCCTGTACGGACTCCAAGAGAGTGCACGTTTCCCACACTGATTCCTCACTCACTCAAAGTCCTCAGCATTGTCTTCAAGGACCAACTTTCTCAGAAATAGCCAATGTTCTTCTTTCTTTTATATTCATGTATTCACATTGTCAAACCCATAAATTTGAGGTAAAGATATAGCTGGTCTTTGTTCTAGTTGCATAGCATAGACTAGACACAAAATAGAATAAAAGACAGTAGCTTCCTATTTGTCATGAAGGATATTTTTATTTTCACCCAGGAGACAGACAATAAAATAGATAAATTATAGATGACTTACTGAAGGAGTCCTCGTGGCTAGTAGGTACACTTTGGGCTGCTCACCTCAAGGTCAGCAGTTCAAAACCACCAGCCACTCCATGGGAGAAAGCAAAAACTTTCTACTCCTGTAAAGAGTAACCATCCAGAAACCCACAGTTCGACCCTACCCTATGAAGTCACCATAAGTCAGAAGTGACTGGATGGCAGTGAATTTGTTTTGTTTTTAATTTAATGTGTCACAAGGCATACTCCTGTGAATAAAGGTGAACGAACTTTGCAGGATCCAGACAAGCTCCTTGCCTTAGGGCCTTTGCTCTATACCTCCCACTGCTTGGGATTCCCTTCCTTCAGTCTTTACTCAAGTCTCAATTCTCAAGGGATCCCAGAATCTGACCTCTGTTTAATACTGTCTTCTGGTCCCCCCCCACCTTATCCCCTCATCTTGCTCTACCTTTGATTTCCCCTGGGAAACCCTCACACAGGTCACTCTTTCTTTGCTGAGTTTCCATTCAATTCTTTCTGCAGTTGACATTTATGTTAACAGCAATCGAGAATAACTGGTGATACAATGCATAGAATATACTCAGGAGATTCCTATTGAATGACTAAGTCAGTTGGGGCAGAGCAGCTGGGATATGACTGAGTGTTGATTAAATGTTGGTTATTTTCAAATGTATCCCATGTTTCATCAAGGAATCAGGGAAGGTTTTGAGTTTTGTACCTTCAGAGACATTTCTGGCTCTGAGAGAATATATTTTGCTTCACCTTGAGCAGAGTTACTAGTTTAGCAGAAGTACTTAAACTTGATCTCAAAAGGAAAATAGTATGCCATTTTTAGCTGATATATTTATGTCTACAGTATCCACAGTGATTTTATTGTCTTGGTACAATCTTCAGCTTCAAATGTCAACTACACAGTTACTCCCTTTGTTGAACTTCACCTTGTTTATGGTGGTAATTTGTTTCCTTGCCTTTTCCGTAATTCAGCTCGTCTGTGGCATTTATTGCTGGCAGGGTGGATATAAATCAGAGCCCTTGGATTTGTTTTTAACCTTTTCTTTTCATGATTTAGAATGACCTCTGTGCTATCATAACTGCAGAAGATGGAGTCTAACATGTGGGCTCGAGACTTAAAAAAAATTTTTTTTCAAGTTTCTTGTGTTCAATATGGCAGTGGGTCAAGCCATAGACTACTAAATGCAAGATCAGCACTCACAAGCCATTTCATAGGAGAAAAATGAGGCTCCCTGTTTCCATTAAAATGTGCCATCTTGGAACTCCTAAGGAGCAGCGTGACTTAATTTGTCTTATAGAGAGCCGTGACTTTAGGGCAATGGGTTTGTTTCCTTAAGATTTTGATGTATCTCTAAAATAAATATTTGGGAAACCATGCACTGATGTGTGTTTTGAATTTCATAGAAGAAGCTGATCTGGAGATATTTACTCCTTTATCATCCTTTGCTTGATAAATAAATTCTTCAAATTGGAAGCAAACATGCATTCACAGCTCCGGGGTAGCAAAACATCGATAAAGAATAATTGCCTATTCCAGCAGGAAATGAAATAACACTTATTTTAATTTCCCTATCAATTTAAAAATTTTATTAACTATTATAGTTAATTCAGCAAAAAAAACATTACCTTTCAAATAGAATTCCAATGGTGTTACTTTATAATTTACTGGGCCATGATTTCTTCATTAACTACTCACTTGTTTCTTCAAAGCTCCTACCCCTACTCTACCTAAATAATCAGCAATACTTCTGCTTTTGTTGCTAAGGTAACAGCATCAAAGATTACCTCAGATACTCAAAACGAGCAGGACCAAAGTTGAGTTTTTTTTCCCTCTGTGTTAGTCTGGGTAGACTAAAGAAACAAATTCATGGACACTCATGTGTATAAGAAAGAGCTTTATATACAAGAGCAATTGAATATTGAGAAAACATCCCAGCCCACTCCAGATCAAGTCCATAAGTCCAATATTAGCCCATATATCTGATACCAATTTATAAATTCCTCTTCAAACTTACGAAACACATGCAATGATGCCAAATACAGGAAGATCACAAGCCAGTGGGTGGAAAGTCTTGTGGATCCAGTGGCAGCGTAAACATCTCAGTGCTGGCAGGGGTCTCCACATGGCTGCTCCAGCTCAGGGCACTAGCAGAGTTCCATAAGTCTTTTCAGGTGCGTCTCTCAGGGAGTGAGCAGAGAGAGTGTGTGCCTCCCGCCTCCAATGAGGAAATACAGGAATTCTCTGAATCCTCAGGGGAAGGCCATGCCCACACAGGGGCCTCATTGGCTATAACCCAATTGACAGACGAGACTCCACCCTTGCACTTTTAATCCTATCAAGTCCCAAATTGACTCCAGATGATATAACTACCACACCGTCTCACCTAGGATCCTTCCACATCCCTCAGCCTCATTTCTGTTCTAGTCTGTTGATCATTATGACCTGACTGACTAGGGAGCTTCAGTCAGGCATGTTGTCATGAAATAGGACAAAGCTAATGTAGCTCACCTGAATTGAGAAACTTCCTCAAGAATAGATTTGATACATTTTACTCTAATGACCAGAGAGCAGATGAATTCGTGAGATGACATTAAGGATATCATGCATAAAGAGAGCAAAGGGTCATTTAAAAAGTAGGGGGGGGAAGACCCAATGTATGTCAAAAGAGACTCACACTTGCTTTGTACACAGACTAGCCAAAACCAATATAAGAGATAATGAAGTAAAAAGCAGAACAGCAGATTCCAAAGAGTTATCCCAGAAGACAAAGTATTATATGAGATGTACAAATTACTGAGGTTTGCTTTTTTCGTTTTTGTTTTTCACAATGGAAAAGCACCCTTGGAATTTCCCAAGCTGATAGAACTGAAGACAAAAATTAAGCTTCAAGATGAAATATTGAAGAATTCTATGAGCAAAATATTGAAAGATATAGGAAACATCAAAAGACGATGAGAGGAATACAGAGTGTCACTCAATCAAAGAGAATTGGTCAACATTCAAGTGTTTTAAGATACAGTATATGATTAGATGATCAAGAACTAATGGTGCTTCATCAGGAAGTTCAAGCTGCCCCAAAGGTTGTGGCAAGAATGCCAAGAGATTTCAAAGACAGCTTTCTAGCCAACCAATTAGAAGACATAAATATTTGAGTCCATTTCAGAGAAAGGCAACCCAACAGAATGCAGAAAGTATCAACAATATCACATGACAATTAATTTTGCTAAAGATCATTCAGAAATGGTTTCAGCAGTTCTGGAAATTGAAGCCAGATTCTGAAAAGATCATGACATATGAGGGATATCATTGCTGACTTCAGATGGATCTTTGATGAAAGAAGATAAGAGCGTGTGACTGTGCAGATCATTTTAAAAATGTGAATAAGATTCTGAAAGATGGATTTTCCAGTACATTTCATTGTACTCCTATGAAACCTGTACATCGACTAAGAGACAGTCATTGGAACAGAAAAGCTGTGATGCTGTGGGGTTGAATATCAGGAAAGTGCGTGTCAGCATTTTATCCTTTACGGTGCTTTTACAACCTGAATGCTGAGCAAATTTGAAGCCTGGATGATATGAAGATGAATATGGCGCCATGATGGGAGGAAAGCACATCAACACTCTGCCAGCAGCAAAGGACACAGCCTTCCTTGCTAGAAGGGAAGCCAACTTGAAGCACTGAGTGATAAAGATCAATGACTACAATCTTCAGTGTGGATAGCAACTCTATAAAGAACAAAATTCCTTACAACTGGACCAATGAACAGCATCATTAGAAACAGAGAAAAAAGTTGTCACAAGGTTGCACTGTACTTGGGGCCATGAACTCTGAATAGGAGAGCCGTCGAGAAATCAAAGGACACATTTCATCAAACAAAATGGCTGCAAAAGAGCTCTTTAAAATCAAAAGATGTAACTTTGAGGACTCCGTTGTCCTCTCTGCATGTGAGATCTAGACAATAAGTAAGATCTGAGGATAACTGATACTTTTCAACAATGGTGTTGAGAAGAATACCAACTGTACCATGAACTACCAGAAAAAGGAACCCATCATGTTGGAAGAAGTACAACTAGAATGCTCTGTAAAAGCAAAGACAGCGAGACTTTGAGTCAAGGACCTTTGACATGTTATTAGGGAAGAGCACTCCCTGGAGAAAGAAATCATGTTTGGTAATTAGAGAATGATCAGTAACCAGGAAAATTCTCAACGAGCTGGGTTGGCGTAGTCAGTGCAATAATGGGATCAAACATTCGTAGGACAGGATTGGGACGTGTTTCATTTTGTGGCGCATGAACTTGCTATGTATTGGAACTCGATTGCACCTCACAACAATAATGGCTCACATGGGGTTACCTTCAAGGTCTTTGCCTAATTCTATCATTAATCAACAAGGCTTCAAATATTTAAACAATAATATCAACTGGAATGTCATTTCCATTGTTAGTTATTACTATTGTAATAATGCCTGGGTGGATTAAAGAGTGTACAGTGAAATGTGGCAGGTTGCATTGTTTTAAAAAATAACACACTCTTCATTTTCTGTCCTTCATTTTCCAAAGGTTTAGGTTTCAGTATTGCAGGAGGTGTGGGGAACCAACATATACCTGGAGACAACAGTATTTATGTCACTAAAATCATAGAGGGAGGAGCTGCACAAAAAGATGGAAGATTGCAAGTAGGAGACAGACTACTAATGGTGAGCGTGATTCAAATCGAACTATTCATATTTACTTATAAAGTCCTCATTTCCCAATGTATGAACATGGGCAAACAAATAAAAGGAACTGTATTTTGAGGTAACAGTATTTGAAAGTATATGTACAATTATGTTTTTTGAATATTAAAATTTTTTTAACATCAC